AGGGAGTTACTCCCAGCAGTTTGCATGTCTGATTGCACAACGAACCAGGAAATTCACCATGCAATTGACTGCACAACTGCTTACAGAACTGCTTTTTGGATTTGACTTCCACCTTGGTGAAAATTTCACAATGGCTTGTGCAACTAAAGTTACACAGGCATAGCTAATTTATAGGATTTTGGCCAATGCTATGCTACCATCCAAGTACTGGGCATTTCATTTGTAAACACTGATAATTTCAGCTGCGCTAATTCCCCCCCCCCTTCAGAATCCTATTGAGCTTTGGTGACATAACAGATTAAGCTATGCTCAAGTTAAATTCAATAAAGCCCATTAGAAAGAAAGCAGGTGTGTCTAATACCACCTTTGCCTGGTAAAATACCTACAATTGTCCCTGGACAGAGATCATGGTGATGAATGGCAACCTCAATACAGTACTTGGTAACTTTAACATACTTGAGATTGGTTTGGAAGCTGCAACCAAGGCAGAATACAATGAGCCAGGTTGCTGAATGGATTTCCCTACTCCCTACCATGACTTCTATGCTAGAAATTCTACAATGACTGCCAAGTCATACCCAAATTGTTAAGAGTTGGTTTATAGGGCCTTAAACAGGCCAGGATCAAATTATCTTAGAAAGCATCTGCAGAAAACATCTCATATCTACCTTCAACGGAAGAATGATTTTGTTGCATTTAAATCATGATATTAGATCTGCAGCTCAGTAAATGATCTTTGCTGCGCTTTTAAGAAAACAGTATCATACATTTTTTTTCAAAATTAAGTCCCACTGAGTTCATTTAGGCTTATTCCCTACTTAACTGCATCCAAGGATTTTAGCTACCTAACGGTTCTTCAGATATTGCTGGAATACAACTCCCCTTAGCCAGTCAACTTGGTCAGTGGTCAGAGTTATGGAAGTTAGTGAAGATGGTATCCAACAGCATTTTGACGTTTCTTTGTTGGTGTAAAGTCCTGAACTAACCAACATTCCCAACAGCAGCTTCCGTTAATAATCACTATCTGTACTATTAATTCAAAGTACCTGATCATTGGTTATATTTCTTTTCAGCATTAGCAACTAGGTGTTACTACTCATTACACTTCTACAGTGAAAACATTTCAGCTATCAAATATACTTGCAGTGACTGATAGAACAGACAATATAAATCAGTAATGCTACCAAGAGGGTAAACTTCCCTTTCCACTCTTATTCACTAAACCGAATTGACCACAGACCCCCCCCCCAACAAAGTGGGATTAGAATTCTAGTTTGAACAAGTTGACGTAATTTAGTCAGACTTGGTTAATGAAGACCAGTATCTCTTATCATGGATTAAAGGGGCCACATTTTGGAAACAAAGAGGTTACTTACCTGTAACCATAGTTCTTTGAATTCACACATATGAGTATTGTCGGCACCTGCGCTGACTCCCTCGGAAGATTCTAGAGCTAAAAGTAACAATTTCATGGTGTGATCCTCCACAAGGTATATGCTCCTCCCACCCACCATCTTCCCCAGTTCCTGAATTTTATCCGCTGGGTTATGAAGGAAAGAATTAATTACATAATCAACCCGTGACGGATAGAGGGGAAGGATGGGCGGGTTGTGTGAATTCACAGAGGACCACTCAAAGAA